AACATCACAGTGAAGGCGTAATACTTGGAAAGAATTTGGCTACATTAGGTAATTAAACTGCTTTATTTAGAGCCTTAAAAAGTCAAATTGCTGGTGTTTGTTTTCACACCTCTCTGCATCACTGAATGTTCACCTGGTGTTTTATGGCAGTTTATGCAAATTTCTTTTACTTTTCTGTCACATTTTCAGTACCGGTTCTCGGCACATTGTCTTAGTCAGGTTATTCTTTGTGAAACAGAAACACGTTTAGCTCACATGCCACTATTCAAATGCTTTCTCTCTGACAGCACTGACAACTCAGGGCCACTGTCGCTGGGTGGATGGTGGTTTCACCCCCTCTTCTCTACGCACTTTCTGCTCTCCAGGGTCCCACACGGCTGTTCTCACATGTCATGCAAACACACTCATTTGCTACCTCTTTCTCTCTCTCTCTCTCTCTCTCACTCACACACACACACACACACACACACACACACACACACATCAAAAACAAATTTGGTATGTGTACATACACATAAATCCTCAAGAAAACAAAATTGTAGGAATGCAAACAGTCTCCCTGTGTATGTTCCTTCTCTTTAACACACAACTTTACAGACAGACACCTAGACACACATACACACCCACACACATTAGCCCCTTGACAATAAATGAATGCAGTCTTAAAATGGCAGTCTCTCTTGTAGTTTCTTCCTGGTAATATAAATAAGGAACAACAAGATTTAGGACCTTAGTAACATTAATTTGACCAAAACTTGCCAGGAGTCAGATCATTATTGTCAAACATGTTTATGTTCTTGTTATGCGGGTTAACCAGAGAGTGTGAGAAAACACTACTTTCCAGAGCTATTCCAAATTTGAGAAAATTTTGCAACATTAAATCAGACAAATTCCCAATGGAGGGGAAAAAAGAGTCAGTAGTGTTTTATCTGATTGCTCCATTGGTTATGTTTCACAGTGTCACAGCAACCAAGACACAACATATTAGAAGAGTGAGGAGATACCTTGCTGGGACACTAGACATTCCAGGTGGTGCCAATCCAATACTGAGAAAATTCAACTAGGGCTCCCACCTTACTGAGCCAGTACAAACACAGAACACCAGGGCAGATTTACTGTCAACTTTAAACTTCTTTGGCCCTACTGATACTCCTGTGCCCCAATTTTAGACAATTCTTTCCAAATGAAACAAAAAGGAAACAGAGCGATCCAAAGGCATTCGCTGTAGCTGACAGCGAGCACGCAACAGGGATTAATTCTCAGATAACACATGAACTGAAAATAACCTGCAAGCTGGCAAAATTGAAGCTGCTCGTCCTCTATGTGCTGATTGGTGGTGACGCTGTGAAACTGTCAACTCCAGGGTTAAGAGACAACAGATCTATGAAATTGAATCTGTCTCTGTATAAATGTGTAACCTCAGGGGTGCTGTTTATCCACTAGCCTCCATAATGGTGTGACCAGTACTGTATGTTCAGTTGGCCCATTTTTGGACTACAAATGAGTACCATTTTGAAAGACGTATTCATGGTTCCCAGAGGATAGATGTACCCTTGTAGCTTTGAGCCACAATAGTGAACATGCTAAACATTATAAACGCCAAACACTGATGTGATTAGCATTATCATTGTGAGCTTGTTACCATGCTGATATTAACATTTTAGTCAAAGCATCCCTGTGCTTAGGTACAGCCTCATAGGGCCATTAGTATTGCTGTATCTCTTAAGGTGTCCCACGCCTGCCTTGTTATGTCCAGTTAAATCAAACTAGTACATTTCCCCCTATGGTACAGTTTTTCAGGCCCGCAGTTTATTAGCTCTTAACAAATTAAAATCCCAAAACCAGTTGATGCCAAGCAGATGCACCTGTAAATTAAATGCGTACTTGTATAATAAATGTGTTCTCAATTTCTTTAAGCATGTTTTTTTTTTTTTTTTTTGCAGGTACCCAGTGGAAACAGTGCATGTGCTCAGCTCACAATACTGTGAATGCAGAGTGTACTATTGAGGTCAGACTCTTTAAATACTTGAGGTCTGGTGGAGTATCACAGACTCAGGCGCGACCTCATCAAAGAGCATCCATATCCGACAGATTGTTACAATGATCCAGCAGCTGCCTGTTCGGATTCAGCTGCTCCTTGTGCCAATGCAGCGACCACCCCTGATGCAACGTTAGGCCTTAGGCTCTCTGTGTAGTTTCAGAGGGCAGCTCTGTGGTATTATGGTCCTGGATGGGTCTATATTTTGCCATCTCCCATCAGAATAGTTGAGAGGCTGCCCTGCTCTGACAGGGATCAAAAAACAGACCCCCGGTGAGTTGCTGGCTGTTCTGTGGACTTTCACTAACGTACTGTCATCTGAGAGCAGCTGAGTGAAGAGAGCCTGTTGCTGAGCAGATAAAGCCAGAGGGGAGCTGAGGGGGTGTGAGCATTAACGCTAAACAGAGGTCGGGCTCATGGACTTTGGTAGCTGTGATGCACGTAACTGTAGCAGTAGTGGTCTTATCTGGAGTGGGGCTCTGTTGTGTGACCCAGTGCTAACCCCTCTATCTTATTTAAAATGGAGCGTGCACAGTTGCCATTCTAAAACACTTGCAAGATTCCTCATAGTCATCAAGTGCAGAGATTAACGAGTGAAACAACAGTGAGCATGTGTTCCCATGTAGACTGGCTGCATACAGGGTGAACGAGAGAAGCTTTAACATAAAGCAAACATGCCCCGACAGTCCTCGCATATGGTGGATGTGTGTAGTGTTTTTGTTAAATCAACTTTAGCAAGACATTATCCATCCTCAGCCAGTGAGAGTAAGAATACAGTCCTGGATAGTGGCACCTCCTGCTCACCCGTCAGCACATTCAGGCTGAGATAATACAGCCATAAATCTTAGGGACATGAACATGGGAACTGCCATGTCAGCTAGCCAAGCTATTCCAAGACTTTAAGATTGACTGTTACTTAAATAGCAGAAAGCACCTTTATTTTATTGTCCATTAGTGGCTTTTGTATCACCCTCACCATCCACATATTCCAAGTTTTTTTTCCACCCCCCTCTGAATGAATTTATTCTGAAACTTGGCACAACCCAGCCTGTAACTGTGCACTACCTCGATGGCACCTCCCTAAAAATAGTGCCCACTAAACCTCCAGTCCCCCCTGAGAAATACCACACATTACCAGGGATTGACTAGCGGATCCATTGCTTCAGAGAAATCGAGGCTTTTAAATAAATCTTTGTAGCTTTATTATATAAATATTTAGATTTATATGTGAGCAATATTTGTTGGCACATGTTGTATCAAACTAAAGCGAAGGCATGAATCCAGAGAATATTAGCATGTTGTCTGTCACCTCCATGTAGCAATGCTGCACCCTCTGGTGATGAACATAGATTTTAACAGCAGAGGCTCGTGTGGACAACTGCAGTAGCAACATATAAACCAGTGCGATCATGTTGTTGAAATATACCCTTATGTGTTGGCAGGGGCTTGTATCTTGCCTAAGGAAGCTTGAAAAGCCAGCTGGCTACTGCAGCTTCAGAATAAGCTACAATGTCATTTTTTTGGATCACAGCGGTGCCTCAGTATTTGTCATGACATGTTTGATCACGTTAATATACTACCTTTTGTTCAGCTGCTAATGGGTCTGGTGAGACTCAAAACAAACTCACACCATAAGCCACTCCCAACTGCTCTTTGTCCTGCATCGTCCCCCCGCCCCCACGCTCTGCTTCCTAGCAACAACTTAAACTACGGAGGCCTGGTTGATATCTAAAGTTATGAAATAAATGTAGTGGGGTGGCTGTGGCTCACGAGGTAGGGCAAGTTGTCTTCTGACCAGCAAGTTGGTGGTTCGACTCCCGGTCTCCCCCGCATGCCTAAGTGTCCCTGAGCAAGACACTGAACCCTGAATTGCTCCTGGTGGCTTGACTAGCGCCGTTGTGTGGCAGCCTTGTCGTCATCGGTGTGTGAATGGGTGAATGGTGTATGATCTCCCTGTAAAGCGCTTTGGCCAGTGCAACACACTGTGAAAATGCGCTATATAAATACAGTCCATTTTACCAGTTAGTGACTACAAAGTACAGTTTTTTTTTCACTGAAATGTAGTGAAATCAAGGTATGAAGTAGCAGAAAATGAAAATACTCAGGTCAAGTACAGATATCTCAGAATTGTACTTGGGTACAGTACTTGAGTTACTTTTCACCTCTGGGTTGTTTCATTTTGGTAAAATACAAATTGCATGTAGTGCTAAGGGCTCTCTGCTGCATAGTGGTCAAGTTTAACATAGCCCACTGGTTGATGAAGAGGTTGTCTGTGTATCACAGGTTCAAATTAATAAACTGTAGGCCCGCTTTCTACTGGGCTCCACTAAAGCTGTATTTTACAACTGGGATACAATTCCTTTACATGATGACCGGTATGACCTGTCTTAGTGTTTGTTAGAAGTGTTGCATTTGTAATGCACTTCAGCTGCCTAGAAGGGTAGAAGCTGTGTTCGAGGCCTCCAACTAGCTACCAGAATATTGGAAAAGGAGGGTAGCAGATACAGCTGCATACACCCTGTAGGAATTTTGTTAAAGGAGACTTTAGAACTACAATGAGCAGCTGAGCCAACTTGCATGCCTTGAACATTAACTGTAAGGCACTCTGTTTCGCTGTGGTTGGAGTGCACTGTGGTTTTGTTTGTTTTTTTTGTTTTTTTTTTTGCTACTTTCAGTGGGAACTGGCATTTCCTCTCAAAAGTCTAAATACTATTGAACCTCCAGAGTAAACAAGTCAAACAAACATACAAAATTTTCCCATACTGTCAAATTAATAACAAATGATTGGCTTCTTCTGCGCCTGTTTCAGATTGATGAACCTGAGAATGTTTATGTGTCAAGATTCAGCACTGAATTTAGAACATCTGTATAATTTTCTCTCTTGTTGGACGTAATCCCTGAGTACATCAAATCAATACGTACAGCATTCTGGACAAATAGATGATGAGACAACAGACTGGACAGCTCCTCTTTAATAAGACTTGAGACACTCCCACTGACCTTGTAGCACACATCAAAATATATTTATAGCATTTACACATGCCAGCATTTCAAATACACGAGTCCATGGAATCTCAATGCAAATGAAAGAAAACCGAGTCATGCTTACACATGTAAAAACAGTTAAATAGTGGAGTAAATCCCTTTTTATAGGGATTTGACCTTAGATTACGTCTTGCTGTTTGATCGTGAAGGTTGCATACTTATTACATCTAGTTCTGCATACAATCAATCATAGCTAGTTTTAGGTATGAACAAAGTATGCTTATACGCAGGAAGAAGCCATTGCATGTTAATTTACATTTCTAATGTCTTTCCAAATTTCTCAGTTTAACTTTACAAAAAAAGTTACAAGTAGCTTTTTACAGGATGTATACCTGTTTGTACTTGGGTCTACTCAGAGCAGAGTATACAGTATCAGTAGTATACTGTAAAATGACTCTCTTTCATACAAATTGAATCCACAGACCTTCCTTCTCTTTGACACAAAGTTCATTTACATTATTCACAAAAATGATCCCAGTCTTTTATACTTCTCTTTCAGTTAAATAACTAAAGAACAAGAAAACAAATACTTCTTTCTCAGCTTATGACAATTACTCATCTGTACTGTAATGTACAAAGGATGATACCGTTTAGTATTAAGGTGCATGGAATCAAAGACTTCTCTGATGCATGCAGCAACACCTTTCATCCTGTTTTTGTCTTTTGCTTTGTGTCCTGGTGCTTAGTAGTCTTCTTCTGTGGCCCCGTTGAACTTCAGTGTGAATTATCTTTGCTTTAGGGGCTTAGAATAAGGTTGAGTGGCACAGGTCACAGGGCTCCCCATGTAAGCGTTGGCAGGGCAGGGAAAGGTCAGTGGCCTAAGGTGAAGAGCGCTTCAACCCTGGCACATGTCACAGCACTTCTGTGAAGGAGGCAGGGAGTTAAGGATCAGAAGGAGCAGCAGACATCCACGATTAATCAGCAAATGCTAACAGACAAACGAGAGGCCATAGCTCAAATTAGGTGGATGACCCGAATAATGACACTGTCTGTAATCCTCTGACCTGGTGATTGCTAACCAAAAAAGGGTGTTGAACATGTTACAGGAGGCAGGAACCCATAGATCCTGGTCTTTTTTATATGAGAAAGCCTTGAGAACCAAGTGAAAGCCATTTTATGGTGAAATGCAGACAATATGTGAAACAAGTTCATAATAGTTGGAACTGAAATATTTGACTGACAAGAACACATGGCAGTCCAAGGAGAGGGCTACACGTAGCAGATAGAAACATTTAAATTATGGCTGCACGATAAATCATTTTGTGAGCGTGATTTAGAAACTATTTTCCAAATGTTGCACTGCTTGCCCTGTACACCTAGTGGAGATAGCAGTTAAGGCAGAAATAAATCACTTTGTGGTTATTGGTTAAGGAAAAGCAAGGAAAAGGGAGCACTTGGTTTGTTGCAAAGCATTTCCAAACCATGCTTCATAATGAATGGAGGGAGCAACAGTATTATTAATCTCAGCAACTCTGACTGGGCATGGCAGGATTTTTATCTTCCACCTGTGGAGGGTCACGAGCATGTGGACTGGGCACTTCGATGCATGACACAAATAAATAAAATGTATTATTCATTAAAATAGGATTTAAAATTAGAGGGCTAGCAAAGGTAACTGTTGTCAGTTTCTTTTCCATAGTATTTCTGACTGCTGGCTTGTGTTCAGGACAGAGACTGAAGGTGAGGAGCTAGCATGACAGGGGAAGAGTAGGGTGCTGCTGACATTGCCACTAGGAGGGAACTGAATCCAGGTAATATGGTCCTGTTTCTGACCCCTGGCGGTGAAGCACTTGTGGACAGGGTTGCATTGTCAGCTCAACCATACTTGGAATTCCTCATTGGGTGCATTGCCCAAGTTAGCAGGGCTGCTGAATATAAGATGTCATCAATATAAAGACACCCTTCTTCTCTTCAACCTTTCCTACACTATTTCTTCCACCCCTTTGTTGAGTGTAAGTGGAGTCTCCATGCTACACAATCCTCTCCCTAGGGGAAGTTCATGTTCGAGGTCACATCGTGCCAAGGACAAAAACTCTAACTATGGTACCTTGTGCTCAGTCTTTATTGGGCAATGTCAACTTAGCAGTTTAAAACCAGCTCAGGACATGAGCTCATTGTAAATAAACCATGGTTGTTCCTGCAGCTACTTTTTATTAAAGGCCGATAAGGACAAAAAAGCTCATCGGTACATATAGAGTTCCTTTCACTCAAAATGTCACAGTTTGACTACTGATACATGTAAAGTGAATGTGTTTTTATGGGTTTCCCCTCGTGGGGGTGCCACTAGAGCTCATTTAGAAGCTAATACTTCTCTAGATCATCCAAATCACGGCCGTTATACTTGAACCTTATAACAAGAGACAAGGGAATATAACACATTCTTGCCTCTGCACTGTTTGACTTTGAGTTTCAGAATCAACTTAGATATTTTATAGTTAAAAAGGGAGGAAAACGTTTTTGAAGTACCTGAACATTTTGTAAAACCTTCCTTTTGCCACTAGTTAGGTGTGAAGGTTGATTCCACCAGGAACACCCCACAAGATCTGCCATTTTGGAAATGCTCTGACCCAGTCATTTGGCCATCACAATTTGGATCTTGTCAGAGTCACTCAGATCCTGTTATGTTGCAGCTAATCAGTGTAAAGCTGCAGCCAGCAACTGATTAGCACAGTATAAAGACTGGAAGCAGAGGCTAACCTGGCTCTCTGGCTAGAATACAAACCCAGCAGGGCTTTCGGATCTTTAGGAAGCAGCCAGCTGGTAGAACCTTGGGTCAGAACCAAACTAGGTGAACGAAGATGCTTTTAGCTACTATGCTGCACATAGACTGTAGATGGAAGTGACTTCCTGACAACTGAAAACGTGTCCCAACTCCAGCCACTTTCAAGTCTAAACTGAAAATATTTCCCGTGCCTTTGGTTTCTATGCAGCACTTTTGTTTCATCTGTTGCATTGAGGACAACTTATTACTGCACTGCAGCTGCTAGGTTATTGTTTCAGACCTTTTACTTTATATATTTGTTTTTATTTTCATTGTATGATTTTATCTTAATGTTTTAACTTCATTTCGTATTAATTGATTTTATTCTAGTATCAGTGCTTTTGCCTTTGAATTGCCTCTGTGTATGAAGTGTGCTATATAAATAAAGTTGCCTTACCTATATCCAGAGGTTAAGAAAATCCACCAACACAAAATTTTACTTTTTTCTAAATGTAACTAATTAACATGCTTTATCTCATTTGTTTGATCTATTAGAAAAAGATGAAATGTAAAATCAAAAACGTGTTTTTACTGGGAGTTGCAGTTAAAATGTCTTTGTGAGCTTTATAGTGTTTGTGTTGGTAGTCTGTTTTCCTGTGCTTCTGGTTTTATGCTAAGCTAGGCTAATCACCTGCTTGCCATCATTCATTATACAGACAAGAGAGTGGTCTCCTACCAGACATCCTTGCCACCATAACATCACTACAAAGGGTAACCACCAGATCTTCTCTGCACAGTTTCACCAGTTGTGGAAGTCTTTGCCAGAACATCTCAGACTAGCCAAGTTGGTATGCATATTTTAATTGCTTTAATGCTTCCTTTCTTCTGTTCCCTTTATATCTTCATTGTTCATTTTAGCTTACATTAGGTTTATAGTCTTTGACATCATGTTTGTTTTCATTACACTGTGGTCTCTCTGGTGTATTATAAAGCAGGGTGTAATAACTCTGTACCTGCAACATGCTGAGGCTTTATTGGGCCTGTCTTTTTCATGAATGACTCTTCACTTTCAAAAGAGAGGATTGGCTCAGTGGCCATACTGGTCTCTGACTTATCCCGTGCCCCGTTAGTGGCGTTGCCATGGTTGGTGAGATGGATGATGTCATCAAAATGAGTGGTGTCTCCTTTGGTGGACAGACCATTTTCATGTCTTGTAAGCTCGAGCCCATTGACCATTTGGACTGAGTGGCTGCTGGAAAGGGCAAATACAGAAGGAGAGTATGGTTATACTTAAGATGGGTCAGAATGACTCATGCTACAACAAATGAGTCATTCCACTGTTCTTCAGTTACAGAAGTCTTTTCAAATCTACCCCAAAATGTGTTCAAATACCAAAAGTAAACATTTCTAGAAACCAAAAAATTCTTCCAGTATTACAGCTGTTTACAGTGGGCCTGAACTGTGTGGCTTCTTGTGTTTTCCATGAACGGTTTACAACAATGCAAACCTCCTGCAGATCTGATTATTAGTCAACTCCCAGCTTGGATTTCTGGCACAAACGTTTCATACTGTACATGGTGGTTTTGCATCTAGCACAAACAGAAAGAAGAGAGAGCAGTAGCTTTACCTTTCATTGGTCTGTCCATTTTCAGTCTTAATGGCCACAATGACCTCTGGCTTTGGCTGATAGTCAACAGATTCTAGAGAAAGCAAAGTAAAATATCAGTTTATCCAGTGTTCACCATGCACGTCAGCATGATCACACAAAGCCCTCCCTACCCTGAATGATCAACCAGCTGTGTCTGGCTAACTGTTTCGTCAGGATAGGCATATCACATCCCTAAGGGGCTACATGCTACATGTGTCACTACACACGTGGCCTCCTCTGCAACCATGTGCGTGTGGCCCACAACCATCAACGAATTCATTCTCAGAGTGCGAGGTTTTGCGGAGTTGTCCCTGCACTTCGGCAATGTAGAAGGAATGAATATGTGGATGATGATGAGAAAGAGGAGCTGTTGTGTTTGTGGTATTTACTGTATACGGGAAACCAAGATGATGGTCTGTTTGTCCTCTAAGCTAGATGTAGATAGAAGATGAAGAGTTAATTAAATTTGTGAAACCGATGCGCCTCAAAGATGACGAGATGCTCTTCAAGTATTTTCATGTGTGTGCAAGTTGGTTTGATGATTTATTGCATCAAATCAGGCCATTTGTTAAGCATGCCAGCCTTGTGTGCAGTTAAAAAAAAAAAAAAAGGCCAGCACACCACGTAGTGATATAAGTGTGGGGGTGTTTTGATTGTGCACTAGGGGTTTGCAGCACCCTCCACAACAAGCATACAGCGAACCTTACTGGGCTCTACTGTGGACATGTGGTTCAGAAACATTTACACTCCCCTAACTAGGATGGAGTCATGCCTGCCAGCCGTGTCACCCTACCATTGACTGGCTATTGTCTTGAATTGGGTAATTTTGCTATAAACAGCATATCTCCTAAACCACATTCCTTCCCTTTCATTTTATTCATCTACTGTAGTGTACAAGACATGGAAGCTCAGATAAGGAGGGCGTACTAGTTGTCTTATAACACTGTAAAGAGTGGTTAAGGGCAAACACTGTGCAACATCAAATGTATTCTTGTTTTATTGCTTGTGTCAAAAGTAAATATTTGACAACTGCTCCAGGCTGTTGCCATGAACCCACTCTTCCTCACTACTCCCACATTCCCAAGGCTTGGACAACAAGCAGGCACACATGGTCCTGTTGTGCAGAGAAAAGCAACTCAAACTGCAGCTGTACAGGATATGATGCAAAGATATAATCTAACCCTTTTAAACAAAATGCCTCAATGTGAATGAGTCATATGAGAACAAAAGCCATACCTGTCACTGTCTTTATTCCAACATATGGAAGCAGAGGAGTGAGTGCAGTTATGTGTCATCAAATAGCAGTCTAAAGGTGGGATAGGTAAAATAAGCTTATCTGCTATAACACGAGTCAGAAAGTCTAAAATTTACTATGTAGTTCCTGTGGATTTGCTAATTGAAGCAGTAAGAGGTGGAAACCAGCTGGTTACTGTTACTATGTATAGTCTGTTCCTGTTACATTAGGTTTAATTGTCATGCTTTAGGATTAGGGGAGCGCTCTGGTCCGATAACCCACTACGTGGCTGGTTGGCAGGGTGGCTTCCCTCTTTTGTTTGTTTGGACCTGCCTGTCTTTTATGTTTATTATTCTCAGGGCCTGTAAGATAAGGAAAGAAAAATAAAACCAAGAGATAAAGGGAGACACACAAGAAAGGATAGTTTAGTTTCATTATCAACCTGCAGCTGCTGTCTCTGGTATATTTTTAGTAACCACTGCCCTAGACACGACCTAACATAATTTTGGGGGCTTGTCTAACAGTTGAAAAGCAAACTCTGTGACACTGAAGTAGTTTTCAGTTTTGTGTGGTGACATCTTAATTTTTTTTTTTTTTTGGCTTAGTGGCAGTAAAAAAATAAAATTTCTAGGTGTTTTGTGAGTGAGTTTTGAGCAGTGATCATTTACTGGGTATGGGTTAGTTGGCTTTTGGCTCCACGTTGGATGCAGTGATTTGTAAGCTAGGAGTTGCAGTTAGACAGGTTGTGGTGTGCGTTGACCTGTTTTGTTCCAAAATGGAGTTTGAATTACAGGAGCTTCTTGGGGTGCCTAGTTTGGATCGGTTGCATCAGTGCACAAGGGATAATTTGTTGTTAATTGTTGAGCATTTCAGAGATTACGTTTTGGAAGCAGGCAGAACTGTTGCTTTGGCTGACAAAGGTATTTTGCCTCCATTACAGAGTATGCCAAGGACACCTGAGCCATTAAGTCCAAGCGCCAGTGAGGCTGTGAAAGTCAGAGCTGGCTTTGCCAGAGAAGGAGTCGAAGTATTTGAAGAACAAACACAAATCTGTCTGTGTGAATTGGACCTTGGGGTCACTTCTCAAATTACCCCTGATTCTGGTGAAATATCCATTTGGTTCCTCCTTTTAGTGTAAAGGATTTTGTCAAATATTTCATTTTGTTTGAGTGTGTGGCTGCTACGCTGCAGTGGCCTAAGTATGTGTGAGTTCTATTGTTGTGGTTGGTAAAGCTTGTTTACACCTGATGTTACACTGGTCCCAGGTGCAAAGAGATCTTTGGATGAGCTGGCTCAAAAATATCCTAATGTTTTTTCTGTTACCAGAACTATGTCCAAACGTGAAGCTGAAGATGAGGAAGACGCTGATTTGAGTGACAGTTTCCTCTGTGGCTCAGACAACGGGGTAGTCCCTTCAGTTAATTCCCAGCCTGGTGATGTGGTGAGAGCAAGGGGTCCTATGATTGAATGTTTGTCTCGTGACAAGATGATTGATGAGTAGAGGAAAGATGTTACATAATCTCCATTGTTTGAACTTGTAGTAGCTAATGAGAATGCAAAGAACTTAACAGGTTATGTTGTAAAGAATAACTTGATGCCTAAATGGACTATTGACTGCCCCCGCTGGAGATGACTGGAGCACTATGACTTGGATTGTAATTCCATGTCCATATCACTGTGAAATCTTAAATCTAGCACATGATAATCCTCTTACTGGTCATTTGGAGATCAAGAAAATGTATATTATGGCTTTTTTTTTGGCCTGGCTTGAAGAGAGATGTGGTGCATTATTGTACCTTTTGTCATACATGGCAGTTGCCTGGGAAGCTGAATCACATTATTCCTCCTGCTCCTCTGTATCCCTGCTGGTGGTGTGTGAACCATATAAACAGGCTGTGATCAGCTGTTGTCAGTTCAATTCCCAGTTTTTGTTGACTGTGATGTGCGCTTCTACCACCTTTTCTGAGGCGATTCCTTTGCACAAGATTACAACTCCTGTTATTGTGAAGGCACTGACAAAGTTTTTTTTCATGTTTTGAGTTTCCAAAAGTAATACAAACCAACCAGGGTTTGAACTTTTTGTCTCGTGTTTTGAAACAACTTATCAATCATTGTCATTCAAGAACGAACCATCCAGAGAGTCAGGGTGGACTAGAGCGGTTTCACCAGCTATTAAAATCAATGCTACACATTGAATGCTTGGAGTTTGAAAAAGACTGGAACAACAGGGTTCATGTGTTGCTTTTTGCTACCAGAGAAGTGGTTCAGGAGTCCTTAGGATTTAGTTTTGCTTGTGCTTGATCATACAGTGTCATATTAACATGTTAAGGCCTTACTGTGACAGATGAACCATTTTGTTGGGTACTAAGTTCACAGGACTCAGTACCCGAGAGTGACACTGCAGTGCCCACAGTGGTGGTGTCCATTGTGAGCCTGGTGGCAGATATGCCCTCACAGGCGTTATCCAGTGTTGAATTGAGTGACAGAGCTTTGCCTAGTGTTGCTTTTCCTGTTGCATTGAATAGAACTGAACTTCACCACTATGCACCAGTGGTTGAATATTATAGGGTGTTTTGTAAAAACCTTTAAGCTTCTAACTGATTTACATACTTAGTCCAAAAGTTAATGGTTAGACACCTGTCAGTGGGCATTTGAGCAGAGTAAACATGTCCGCCTTCGGACTCAGGTGCTTGCAGCACCTTGTTATGATTGACCTTTTAGGTTGGCTGTAGAAGCCAGTGATGCCGGTGTGGGTGCTGTTCTTCTCCAGGAGAGTACTAAGGGCCTGAAGCACCTGATTCCTTATTTTTCTAAGAAACTTCATCATCATCATCATCACAAGGAGTATTCTGAAAAATTTAGAAGAAAGCATCTGGACGTAGTTTTAGGTAGAAAACGTTTCACCTCACATCCAAAAGGCTTCATCAGTTCTGCCTGACTGGTGGTGAGCAGGAGGTATTTATCCCACGGGGTGGTGTTTCAGTTCTTCGATGGCAACCAACATCCACCAACGATTGAGCCGTTAGGGTCTGGTATCGGTGAGTGTCGTTACCTGTCTTTGAACCCTCACATGTGGACCAACTCCTAGTGTGAATTGGGGTGGAAAGGTGTGGGTAGCGATCTCAAAACAGAGTTGTAGATGGATGAGGTGTTGTGTGGTTTGTCCTTCAGGTGGACCAGTCTCTGTCAAAGGGTGTTCTCTGGCTTAAAGTTGAGTGGGATATTGTAGTTGCAGAAAATCCTTTTCAGCTTCTCTGATAAACCGGCCACATAAGGGATGACTGTTATCCCCTCTTGTTTCTGGTTTCTCCCTGTTGGGCCTCCTCCTGGCTTTGGTGCAGGCCCACTTAGGGTATCCACAAACCTTAAGGACATTCTAGATGTGTAGTTCCTCCTCCTTGATCCCTTCTGCAGTTGTGGGCACTTCCTGGCCCTGTGATTTAGAGTTCTAATAACTCCTAATTTGTGTTGAAGTGGATGGTGTGAGTCAAAAAGAAGGTATTGGTCTGTGTGTAGGTTTCCGATATATACTTCCACCTTAAGGCTTCTGTCTCCTCCTATGTGGACTGCACAGTCCAAAAAGGCCAGGCAGTCATCTTTGGCATCCTCCTGAGTGAACTTGATGTTGATATCCAGAGTTGATATGCTTGGTGAAAGCCTCTACCTCCTGGGTCCTGATTTTAACCCATGTGTCATTCACGTGTCCATCCACCAGTGGCTGGGAGCGGTATCAGTAAAGGAAGACAGGGTTTTGTCCTCAAATTCTTCCATGTACAGGTTGGCAACTATTGGAGACACAGGGGAGCCCACAGATGCCGCCTTCTACATTTTTTTCTGCATACTATGACCTGTATGACTGAGAATTTGCACGGACACATGGAGTATTCTACCACAGAAAAGGAGGCGTTAGCCTTACTTGAAGTATATATTGGCTTGTCTGATGTCTCTGTGGTGGTTTACACAGACCATAATCCTTTAGTTTTTAGCACAGGTTTTATGACCAAAAGGTAGGTTGTAACTGTCACAAATCCCTTTGTAACACATTGACAGAGGATTGGTTAGGCCACTTATCCTAAATCAGGGGTTTACACCTGATTATGACCCAGGGATCACCACTGTGGCTAGACTGATGTTCTGCTTACCTTTGCTGCTCTCTGCCTCTTTGTCATTGCCATGCACTAGTGGAGAGGACTTAGTCTCTTTCTGTGAAGATGGAAGATAATTTCAGTCAAATTTATTGAAAATTTAAGTTTTGCCTTGTTCTTCTGGTGAAAATTTAAAGGCACTCTACCTTGTCACCTCCATCCGTCTTGCGTGTCCGCTTCATGATCTCCTCTAGGCGCTGAGAGAAGGAGAGGGGGATAAGACCAGGGGAAATACCACATAGAACCAAATATCAACAGAACCTATTTAGTGTTTTTACAGTTTCTATGTGTTCTGTGCTGTTTCAAGTTAACTATGCTATGAGCAACTGAGTAAGTTTGTATAAAAGCTGTAAATACACCAATCCTAACAAAATAGCTTTGCTTAACTTAAAAGGGGGCTAGATGAGCCCACGCACCTTGTCAGACTGCTTTGCTGCAAACTGAGGTTTCACATTTCACTCGACCTCTCTTCACCAGTGAAAGTCTTTCAGGTTTCTAAGGCCATTATGTTTAAAGTGAATGCACTGAGTCAAACCAAGGCTCAAGTCTCCAGGTGAAGGGCTGTGTCAATAATGAAGCAGCACTTTTTGTTCGGCTGGAAAAATGGCGTAGGACGGACAAACAGTGAACAGTAGGATAGAGGAAGCAGGATGAGGCTCTGCTATACTAAAATTCAAACCACTTTGTTTGGCTAATTTGTATCCACAGAAGCCAGAGGTATGATACAAGATGTGACCTTTGTCTGAGGACACAGCTATCCTGAGACAGCTAGACCAGAACTGCAGCTGCCACTCGTAAAAACAGAGGATTTTTAAGATCCAAGATTATTCACAGACAGCTCACACACTTCTGGCTCTGGAATTTAGTTTGGCTGCAAAACATCTGCCTCCGAACCAAAAATACTTGTCTAATTATGTGCTGTGTTGCTCCACAGGATTCTTTAATCACTTGTGCTTGCTGACAACAAGAGTTTTGGTAGAACACACAAACAATGATAAACCCGTAAGTTTTTGGTGTAGAGGCCACGCTGTTGTTGCAGGCTTATTGCAGTTCATAGCCAGGCTTGGGCTGGTTAAGCCAGGGCTTAACCAGGGCATGCTTAGACAAGAGCTTTTCACACAGGGAAGATCAGGAGTGGAAAGAAATGCTTAGCTAACATACAGCGACGCAAGTTTACTGGAGATGTGGGTGGTATACTTGAGTAGATGGTCATGGCCACAGAATGCACACACGAGAAGATCTGCACAAATCCACACACAGATGTCTCGAACAGCACACTCTCCTTTATTAGTGTTTATATACAGCTATAAGCTCACAGTCTAAGCCCTATTAAATTATGATATGCAGAGAGCCTATTTAGGATAAGCCAAAAACAACATTCATCTTGGTTGCAGGGACTCAATTTTCAGGCCTGCTTTTGTAGTTTCAAAAGTCAGACCACAGAGGGACTATACCCAGAATAAAATACTCCCAGTGAGGCAGAAGAGCTTTTTGTAGATTTACTGCAGAATTTAGTTTGTTACTCAGATGTATGCAGTTGATAGCAGAGCAGAAACAATTTAAGGGTATTTTATGGCTGTTCTCCTTACCTGAAATTGAGATTAGGATTTTAGGGAAACCTCTGATAAGTGTCTTTTTTTCTAGTTCGACTGATTTCTGTCAGTCTAGGTAGGGGAGCACATTTCTGCTTTGAAATGGATCAATTTAAAACCTGGCTGAAAGTACAATGATGAGTGGACAAATGAGTTGCCCTACCCTTTTCCTCTCCAGCCTCTCCTGCTCCTCCTTCTGAAAGTGTTTCTCTCTCTCGAGACGCTGCTTCTCTGCCTCCTCCCGGGCTTTAGCCTCGGCCTCTTCTTTCTGAAATAAGCATAGACAAGAATCCAACCACAGTTCTAATGCCAGCAGAAGGGAAAAAAAAAACTCTGCCAAAATGACATTCCTTTTACATAACAAGGGTGTGGTTGCTCCCTGCAATTATTGTTCACAACCCAAGGGCATATTTTCCTGTACCTCTGAACCAAAAAGATCTATTTTCAACACTTACAGCCTCATGAGGACCCATGAGGAAAAATACAAAACTTTAAGCCTTTGCATAATAATATTAGATCATGCTTAACCACAAAAGCCACTTCTGTGAAAGACCACAAGGGGGTGGCAAATTGCTAATTGTAAGGGCTGGACTACAGACCATTCACAGACAACACCTCACCACAGTTGATCTTGTTACAGGTCAAGAGGATAAACAAAATACTGTAAGAGCCATGTTCCCCATTTCATTGGAAATTTGATTCTACTGTCATTCTCCTCTGGTTCCCCCTGGCAACATCCACAAACAGAGCGAACTGGTAGTATTCACATTGTTTTACAAACTAATATGTAAAAATGGCTTATTTTGTGGAGCTACTGGCTCAAGTTTTGATTATTTGACTTTAAGGACAACAATATCTCATGGACATGGAAACTACTGCATGAGCCTGTTATCTAATGAGGTGAGTATGACATCAAAGCAAATGTGACATTTTACAATCCAATCCAATTGTTTACTAAAGTTAGTGGAGTGTGTAGGTTTGAAGTGTGACGCATGTCATGACCTTTGCTGCAACACCAGTGATGACTGTTACAGTGGTGCTTGATGGTCCCTGTGTCTGTAATGGGGTTCAACTGCTTGCATTTTCCTTTACCTTTATCCTTATGACTAATCAGACCTGCACAGTGCAGTATAATAATACACACTACACTGATCAGCCATGACATGATGACCACTGATGGGTGAAGTGAATAACACTATCACGATATAATGGCACCTGTCAGTGTTATGCAGGTGGTCATCATGTTATGGCTGATGTAAACTTGATGATAATAATAGTGACCTCATTTTAGGTGCTTTCTCTTCATGCTGGGAATTGACGGTCTGTATACCTGCTTTTGCAGGCGTAGGTTCTCCTCCTGCTCTGCTTTGGCTCTCTCCTGGGCCTCCTGGTCTGCCTGCAGGCGCTGGGCTTCATCTCTCCTCCGCTGTTCCTCAGCCATGGCCTGGGCTTCCTCTTCCCTGCGCCACCTCTCCTCTGCCTCCCTTGCTATTCGCTCTTCTCTCAGGATCCTAAATTAGTTGGGCATAAGGCTGAGGATAAGCATTTTCAACAAAATCATGCCCCAAACACTTTGAATGCAAAACCCGACAGATCTTGGACATTGCAAGGTCAACACTGCTGCTGACTCTCTCTAGTTGTACTTTGAGGCATATTAAATCCCTCTTACCTCTCCTTCTCTTCCTGTTCACGCCGTTCCTGCTCCTCCCTCTCCCTCTGCTCCCGGGCCTGTCTGCGTTTCTCTGCCAGTATTCGAGCGGCCTCTTCTGGGTCGTTGGTGCCTGCCATGGGCTTGGCTGAGGGAGAGGGTGCAGGTGATACAGCAGGGACAGATGTAGCTGAGTGGACTGGCTCAGGTGAGGAGGAAGTGGCTGTGGTTGTAACTGGTGTGTTTGATACATGGGATGAGGCGGCAGCCGAGGACACTACGATGGCAGGAACTACAGAGGAAGCTAAGACAGGAAAAGTATTGTAGAAAGACTGACTAAATGCTTTTTGTCAGTCTTCATGTTTCTCTACAATTAATGACTTTTAAAGTGATGCTTTCTCAAAGGAGTGCCTATTGGCTGTTTGAAAGGCTGTTTACAGTGTATGTAAACAGCCATAGCTTCAGCCTGAGAACTTGGTAATTACATAATTAAGGCTGATTAGTGCAGCCTCTTAGAGTAATGTGTCAGAAGACACAGACTGTAGGGCTAAGTGTGGCCCACTCATTGCATGCTTTGTATTTTCACGCCTAATTGAACAGATGGTAAGATTTTTTTCACTGTTCCTTTGAAGAAAAACAGATTTTACAGAAGCCAATTCACTTTTTCCATTTAATCCATTGTTCTGACCCGTCACAGAAGGAGACTGAGCCAGACAGTGAGCAACTAGTGTGTTTACAACAAAATGATAAAAATACAGTATGACTCAGTAACAGAGGGAAGCTACCCAAAATCCAGATGTGCTGCATGTTATGACAAATAGACCAAATATTCAAAGTGGTAACCAAGTGCAGTCTGTTAGTTACTGTATAGGAACCTTGATGAAATCTAAATAGTCCACTTACTAGACCTTCTGGGGCCTTGGCCACTTCTCATGGTCTTAATCAGTGTATGGATATGGTGCAGTTGTTATCAGGTAAGATAGGGTTTGTTTGGTGTACCACCCATTGCTTATAGGCCTAGACTGGAGTCCTCCCATGATGCTCTGAGCACCTCTTCTCCCCCTCTTCATTTTATATGCCACCACTACTGCCTCCTCTCTCCCATAGTTTGTACCCTCTCTCTCCCCCTCTCTCTGAATTTTTCTGCAAGTATCCCAGAGCTCTACGTTTTTGATGAGCAGTCAGCGACCACATTAACCTGCCCAGTGTCTGTTGTCTTGTTGCTTTTCTTTCTTTTCTCTCTCCTCTATCAACTCACTCCAACTAGTTGAGGCCGCCCACAAGGAGCCCAGGTCTGTCTGAGGTTTCCAACGTTAAAGGGAGTTTTTCCTCCTGTTGCCAGCTGCTTGCTCAAGGGGGATTTGTTTTGTTCTCCCTATAAAACTCTAAAGTCTAGACCTTCCAGTGTAAAGTGCCGTGATATGATTGTTGGTGTGAATTGGCACCATATGAGTAAAACAGAACTGTTATCAAATTTCAGTCAAGTAACAACAAGCTGACCACGTGATGACGACCAAGCCAACTCCATGGCAACTGAGGAAACTGAGATGCAAGTCTGGAAAAATGTAGTAAGTGGACCTTGAGTGAAGATTATTTTCTCAAACTCTTAATTCCAAGGCCAAGAAAGACCCTTAGCACTCATTTTCAAGATTTAAGGTTTAAGCAACATTTTATCCCTGTTGTACAAAATGTGACAGACTTCTGCATACTGACCATAGCCAACACTGTCTTTGGTACTCACTCTTTTTCTCAGGGGTCGCAATCCTATGAGGCTCCTTCACTCTCTCAAGGGGAACAGGACTGGAGGATCGATGGTCTATCCTGGCAGGGGTCCTGGCTCGTTTGGGCCGACCTTTAGGGGTTGACGGGCTCCCACGTATTGATGAAGGCTTGGGAGAGGCAGCAGGGCTGGGAGAGGCAGTTCTGTTCTTAGGTGTGGCTGGAGATGATGGTCGTTGTCTCGCTAAAGGACTGGGACTGGAAGAACGGAAAATACAAGGGGGCAAATGAAAGACTGATGGGAAATTAGGCCATTGATTTTCTAAAGCTTTCAAACAGAGCTGCCCATATAATTTTTTTAAATAAAAGAAATATTAGTTTAAGTGATACATTTTTTTGAATAATCCTGACATCAGGAAACATGTTCAGCTCAAACCCTGCCTCTCTTAAATATGCATTAGCAGTCAGCATCCTAGCAACACACAGGCAATGCAGCTCCTGGACGAAAAGTTTCCATTATGCTGAAGAAATGTTTTATTTTCCTCCTCCGGGCCTCTGGCACCGACAGCTCTGCCAGGCTCTTTGCTGCCTTTATTCTTAGGTCAAAATAACTTTTCTGTTTAGCATAACATTAGATTATTCATTCAAATAGTTCTCAGTTTAAAGTAATATTTTTGAAGAGGAAATGGCAGCATGGTGACACGGTGGATAGCGCCGTCACCTCACAGCACAAAGGTTACAGATTCAAGCCCCGGGCAATCCAGCGCCTTTCTGTGTGGAGTTTGCATGTTCTCCCTTTGCCTGTGTGGGTTAGATAATGGATGAAAACATTCATCCATTATCTATACTGCTTGTCCTGACACTGGGCTAGAGGGGTACACCCTGGACAGGTTGCCAGTCTATCATAAGGAACTCAGTTTTAATTTACACCGATATAAAATAGAGGAAAGCATAAAAAGCCTCACACATGAGAAGCTAAAACCAAAGAATGGTTGGATTTTTTTTTTTTTTTAAATATTACTGAAATGATAGATTATCAACAAGTTGATAGTAAACGTTCTGATTGACTGATTCATTCACTGTTTGTTTCAGCCCTAATGTGATTATATCTCCAGTACTGCTACAGAGAAGCCGATTTACTGAGTAGTTAACTGACCCGTTTTCTTCTCTTGGCCCATATTGTAAAATGAAACAACTGTTGGTGGTAAATATTTTTTTATGAATAAAATCTAAATGAATAGACTTTAAACTGAAGTGAAATGAATGTGTTTTAAGTAAAACTGGCTAGAAAAATGCCAATGATTTATATGTCTTACCTTGGGTCAGGTCTATGTCTCATATTGGGTAGAGACTGCCTCTTCTTGAGCACCTTCTCTTTAGTGAGGGCACTTTTCTCCTTATCATTCTCCCGTTCTTTGTCTCTCTTTTCCTTTTTGTTTTTATCCATCTGTATGACAAAGGATGGAAATGAACAAACTCAAATTGAATCATTTACTGTGAATTTCAAAGCAAGCATTCAGTTATAATAAAAACGGGAAAAGAAGAGAAAAAGTCTAGTCAGGGATCATGGTTGGAGCTCTTTGCAGTAGTTTCTTAAAAGTAAACCTACTGTGAAATTTTCGTCAGGGGAGCAAACGCACTTGCAGAAGCAGTCAGCTGTTACAGATTTCATGGCTCTTTAGCTACGCTCTTATTGTAGAAAAGTGCTTATTTACGAGTCTCTTGAAAGAGTCAGGTTATATTTTAGAAAGATTTAAGAGCTAGTTAAGCAGACATACTGGTGTGTAGCTCCGTCTGTGTTGACGCTGGGCGATGTCAGGTGTGCTGGATGTCACCCTCCAGCGGTCGGAGCAGCGGTGGTGGGGCTGGTGGGTGCATGGGGTGAGGGGACTGGCTGAGGCCGAACGGGGGCAGAGAGGAGAGTCTGAAGTGTATGACATAAAATTAAACCACGCAAACATTCACACAGCAGTATAACTGATTTACCATGTAACAGATGTTAAACTGTTAATTTTTCAACTTACGGCCATCTTTGCCACTGCTGAGGACACTGGCAGCACTGCGTCATCAGCCGGTCGACTATACTACTCTCCCATGGACTCAGGGCAAGGCTACGGGCTGCAGGTGGGAAAAACAATCACTGTGTCTATCAGTTTGCTTAAAGGATATGTCTCAGTTGAACCAGAGGTCTGTTATGGTATCTGCCACAAACTGAGGTCAGACCTGAAGTTTTAGAGGAACTTACACACATTTGAAATCTCTCCCTCAAAACCAAAACACAGAACTAAATGTGAAGTCTAAAAGTTGCCACCAGATGTAAATGACAACTGACAATTTTTCATGTTCTACAAGACATTAAGAAGGCTTAAGCAAACAGAATCCAAAAACACTTCAGTGCCACCCAAAGAAAAAATGAGAGGAGGTGAGGAGGAAAATGAGCCCATTTACGTCTCTGCTATAACCCTGGGCTGTATGGTACCACCCAAGAGTTATTTGAGACTTTGAGTCTGTTTTAGGCTGGTCTAGACAGTGAGTCAGTTATAATTACAGCCTTGCACAAAATAAAAGGCATGGAGGCTCAGTATTTTTTGTTTGGCTCAGGTGTAGGCCAAAAACGATGCTTTACTGAATGCCCAATGTATTGGGGTAGAGGGGAGAGCAACAAGGATGGTTACCCAGCTATTTTTTTTCCCAGCAGCACAGAGGACAGTTCGTGCTCCAGGGAGTTTTTGGAACACCATCTCCTGTAAAAATGCTGACTCACTGGCTCCCTCCTTAACTTAACTTTTTTTCAAACTCACAAGTTTCTTTTTCTTTGCGAGAGTACATTGTGACCTGATTAACTTCAGAGGTACAAACAGATCTGCACTTAAAAAGAAAGGTTGATTCAAAAGAAATATTTGTCATGTATAAATCAGACCCACCTCCATATCAATCAACCAACAAAATTCAGAAAAGACATCCGGCATCCAGGCTTTTGTGACAAAAGTGAGCGCACAAGGATCCATTTGACCGAGTACACACAGACACACAACACCAGGAATGAAATGGCCACTACCACACAATGTACCAACCAAAAAGATTAAAAAAAGACAGCAGAACAAAATATGAACACAGTACATAACCCATATTAAAATATGAGCATGCGGAGCATGTCAAACAAAGCCCTGACCCAATTTCTGGAGAGTAAAACCAAAAAACCCACAGTAATACTGTAAGATGGAAATGGGTCAGCTATCAACCATCAAGCACAGGAAAGGGACTGTAATCAGAAAGGGGAAGAGGGAACTGAAAAAATAATGATAGATGGATTCGGAGGTATGGGCGGTGGCAGTGTGATGACACATTTAAAAAAGGGGGCGGGGGGCATTCCAGATGTTGCCTTACTTCTGCTTGGGGAGTTCCAGAGCGTGGCGGAGGATTTGGAGAGTCGCTTGTTTATAACAGAGTCCACATGTTTGGGCAAGTTGACCGCCGACACAGAGCATCTGCCTAAGAAGCCAAAAAGAGCGCCATACACGTTCACACATGTCACATGCTTGAGAGAAGAGGGGGGTACCCTTTAATGACGCCTGTACAAACATGCACCCACTCACTATATAGACAACTACACCACCATATTTTCAATGAAAGCGACACTCCAATTAATGCAGATTCCTGAGGGCTGACCATGGGTATAAGACCACAGTACACATGTTCACTTCATCTAGACTTCAGTGGTGTACGCCGGCATCTATAGCACATAAGGCACAGAACATGTTTCATAAATGATGTATTATGTTTCTGAATGCCTCAAAGGCTACAGTTCACTTTAAATTGCAAAAGTATTCATGTTGAAGTATAATAATTAACTTTATTTATATAGTGCTTCACAACAAACAAAATAAGATACACTTCTGTCGGTGTGTCATTCCAGAAACTGGATGATCCAGACAAGGTACTACTGTACAGTGTGTATTGTCATTATTTTTTTGGTAGGTAGCAAGTGGAAACTGCTGTCAGTTGGTGGATTAACCAAATATTTTCTGGAAATGTTCAATGAAGCACTCCAAGTTTAATTAGCTTTTTGTGATTTGGGGGTAGGTAAGGTTCCTTTCAAAATTCCACGTGAAAAATTAACAAAGCTTCATATCTAGGCCACAACAATTCCAATTCCAGAAACCAAGTCAAACATGCTGAGGGAGAACCTTTACAAACCACCTATCAAGCCACCAACACAAGTCCGGTTAAAAGAGAATGATATCTCAAACTAACCATGACAAGCAAACAAGTGATGGAAAGCAGTTCCTGGGAATCATACACTCAGTCAAGGCAGATGGCGTGAACCGGCACTTCAGAAAAGAGCAAAATGTTAAATCCGTGAAATTGTCCATGTGCAACATTTCCCCGGTCTATTTGCCTTTAATACACTGCAGTCAAATAAATACTCTTTTTCCTAAAATGTGATCAGCCATGATTCAGAGAACATTACAGTAATAGAGACATTAAAACAGGCTGAGGATGAATGTAATTTAAATACACAAGGCTGGTGGAAGAGGCAGTATGCTTCGACAAAGGCTGGTGGAAGAGGCAGTATGCTTCTTCGACAAAGGCCAAGACACATACTTTGGAGCATTTCCTAAATAACATGCCAAACTCTCAGCCATTCCACTGCTTATTCTTGTTTACTTTCATCATTTGGCAGACAGCATGCTGCTGAGGAACGAAAGAAGGAGAGACGATCTGAACATCAGTAACTCCCAGGAGCATATTGCAGAGGAGATTGCATGACATAAGATTGAACTATGAACTTGGCACAAAGGGACAGAAGCATCTACCAAGTTGCACTGGTAACGCATCAAATCTACAGTACAGACTGACAGGACTTTATCAGTTCAAATGAAGCATCATTGGGCAACATATTCACCTTTCCTGCCGGTCATTAGAACCCTGCTTACTGAGACTGTTGCAATAAAGCAGCTGAATACCTTTTCACTTTGTGCAATCAACAGTCTGTTTATGATAAAGAGCTAATGACCCTGAAATAATGTTGCAGTAGATAACGGATCAGAAGAAAGAGGAACATGACCAATGTAGAAAAGGAACAGCCGATTAAAGTGCAACAAAACAAAACCACTTCTGCTGTCTAAATCGGTGAGCAGTATTCCTGACAGTATCCATCATCATATGCCAGCCCCAGCAATGAGCATAAAACACCTAACTAACAGAAAAGACATCCTGCATCCAGGATCTTGTGACAAAAGTGAGCGATATTGGATTAGCATTTGTTGGATATGTGTAAAATTATGTGTGTTGATATATCAACTGTCTTTACATGCTTGAAAGAATAAATAAATCAAAATAAAATCAAACGAAGCCATATATTACTTAATTTATCTGAATGAGGTGATAACAGACTGAAATAATTTACCTCCAATGGATTTCTGGGGTTACTGGCAATGAAACTCAAGTAATGACAAATAAGAACTTCAACAGAATGTAGAGCAAGTAAAACTGCACTAATACTATATTCCAACAAAGTAATTTGCATCAACTGCCTCACATTAGCAAAATGAGGCAGTTATTTTACAAGAAATTAGTCCATCTCATGGATTATGATTTATGAGAATGTGTAAGGTTGGACCAGCGAACTCACCCTCTTTCTGGCTGGTGTTCTGGATTAGCGCACCAGCCGAGGACCATCTTTGTTTGCGGATTTCTGTCCAGGTCTTCTTAGTTGACCTATGGATGGCTGCCTCATAGCGTTCCTGTAAAGTATACAGCAATACATACCAGTCATTTCAAATGCATGGGTGCATATGCAGGTTTGGGTGGCATAGTGCTTTGAAAAACCCAGATTCGAGCACCTGCTTGGCTTGAGTGTCACTAAGCAAAACCATAAATCCCTTGATCACAACAGACCCAGTTCAGCTGCTGTTGCAGTGAAGGGGGGCATTAAGACCAATAGTAAATGACTCTGGGTGATACCTCTGAGTATCAGTGCAGTGTAAGAGGGGAAAAAGTGTAATCATCACCATTCCTACACCATCACATACCAAATTAATTCAAACATGGCCTATGTTCTAGTCCCAACATACCTTGTTCTTCTCCAGTTTCTGTTTCTGCCTCTCCTCCAGGGCGGCTCGTCGTTTTTCTGCCTTAATCCGCTGCTCCACGAGCTTCCTGCGGCGCTCCTCCAGCTGCTGCTCCCTAAGCTGCCGTGCCTTTTCCTCCTTCTCCAGCCACTGGGTCTTTTTGGCAGCTAGGACGGGACAGACGACATGGGTGGTAAGAGTTTTACATAAGGGATCAAGGGACCAAAGGTCAAATGATCCCGAACTCTCTTTTCCATGTGCTTCTAAACAACACACATGATCTTTCAATGATGCATTCTTTCAAAGGTCTGTATTCATCTGGTCTTGAAAGAGTAGTATGATATCTGTTGAAAGCCACAGTTTCACACAAAAAATACCTTTTGATAGGCTTCAAAAATCCTTTTTGAAACTTGAAAATATCAAGAGTCTCACCGGTGTTTGTTTCTCATTTAAAACAGCCTTTAAAAAGTATATTGCCCTTCACTTCAAACTCTTTGTGTGTTTGGAAAAAAGAAATTCAATTGCTCTGCTTTTTCACAAGATAATGCATAATGGCAGGCTGATCAGATGCAGTACTTCTGAAGTGACACTTTCATACTACACTAATCAAATCAAGCTTGCACTTCAACAAGGCACATACTTTGATATAGAAATTGCCTCCTTGCCCCTGAGCTATTCAGACAGGGCATTTTGTGGCTGCCTCACTTTCTTTAAACTACAAAAAAAAAAAAACTACAAATGATAAGACTCAATCCTCTGAAGCACTTGACACAACACATTCAACTGGTTCTGGGCTTCAGATTACAGTGACACATCACTACAGAGATGCTGGAGGTTAGACAGGATAAAATTTACTGAGAAGCACACAGTTCAGCATCGATCTGAGTGGGAAACACAAAGCTGAGCTGTACAGAGGCATTGCTTGTCAGCTTTGATGCAAGGATCTGCTGCAGTGCATCATCTCACCTCAAAGCCAGATCTTTACCTTCCAGTGGTACAAGACTATAGGGAATGACATTGTACGGGAAGTGCAGTGGAAACAGCTTCACAAATCACCTGTTACGCTGTCATGAGAACAGAGGGAGATGAAACTGCCTCAAACACAAAGTTTAAGGCTCCCTCAGACTGATCATGCCTTTCCACATCAATAAGATTTCCTTCCTACTTATAAGGGAAACTTAAAGTCTTCGACAGCGAGTGACACTCAATTGAATATCTGAATGAGTTATTCGACAGGCTGTTCCCACTCATGATTTACACATTTTCTCAGAGTGCCATTTATCATCAGTCTTTTAGCAGCTGTTTCAGGGTTTTAAATGATAAACGGGTGTTCAAATCTGAATGTCTTAAGCTGACATTACTTTAAAATGCATTTCTCAAGTCTCTCCTGACAGTGATCAGCACTGACAAGTAGCATCAAGACCTACTACAGTAAAATCATCAAATAATTATAAACCTCCTGACATAACATATTTATACTATCCCACTGAGGGCAGACAAAACAGGAGCGTAGCTTGTGTGCAGTCACAGCCATTTCGCTAAAGAACCAGTAAGATGCAAGCCAGAATATGCAGGGATTTTCTGACCATGCCTCGTACTAAACTAGAAATACAACTGGGGATGGTTGATAAGCTAAGAGCTTTTTTAAGCCGATACTGTAAACACAAGCTTTGGTGGGATCTTTTATCCAAGTCTGACCGAGGGTATTAGATCAGAGCCGTACCATGTGGCGTGTTAGACTGATCCGCACTATTAAATCTGTCAAACTCATCTTACTGCTGTCGAACACACAGTTGGATTAGACAACATGGCATTACTGAAAGTATGAGAACAACTAGCTCAAAAGAAACCTGCAATATGCAAGGACATGCATTAAGATTATGGCTTATTTTAACAACAACAACAAAAAATCCAAACATGGTAAATACAAACTGTGTTTGCCAAATCTTTTAGCTAGAATCATTGAGGTTAAAAAGATATTTTACATATACAAAATCCAAAAACTTCAGGCTTGTGTGCAGCTGCAACACATAGATGAACAAAGGTCAAGCAATGGCACGCAGCATCTTATGTGTGAGCTGTGGGTCAGTCACTGAGCCATGTTTAACAACCAGTATTTATTTATTTACATGTAAATACAGGTTGTATGATCAGTCTATGGCTGCATGGGTTTTTGTAACAAAACACATTGATGATGTTCAGAGAGACACATTTCTGTGATAAAGAGAAAATAAGACAACCATGATTTTAAGACAAGGAACACCATGAGGATTAAATGAATAAAAGACTAGGGCTGGGCAATGTGACCAAAACTCAATATTGTAATGCTTATGCATGGTATTTTTCTTAAATATGACAGAACTGATTTTTTACTCCAGTCAGAGCTCTCTTTTAAGGACTATATGTGCTGTATCTTCTAAAAGCAACCTATTATTTTGCAAATTGCTTTGCTCTATTGAGAAAACACATTAGTAAATGTCATAACTAAGGGGGTGGTTTTTGGAAGCCATATGGAAAGAACCTCCAACACAGATCTATGATTCCTAATTCCAGTGTTGATAGATTTCTGGTGTACTGCCCAGCTCTAAGTAGAACTACTGGATTCCATTAGGTTGAGCTATCCAAATCAAACAGAATGACGACAAATGGGCTTCACCACCATCACCACCACCACATAGAGATAGGTGAGTGGCTTACCTTGCAATGTGCTGAGCTCTTCTGCAAGAGGAAGGGGTGAGAGAGAAGACAACTGTCAATCATGCAAAGCAGTGCACGACCAGCATGTAGCCGTGTGATAATGTGACAGCCTTATGTGAAAGAAAATAAAGACACAGGTGTAACTGACACAAGAAGTGCAGCTGTGTCCTTTGTGTCATTCAGGGCATTTTTTGCATCAAGTGATCAAACTGCATCGGTTTATGCTGGGATACACTGTAGAAGATTGTTTCTGTATTTCTGGTGACTCAGCTCTGTTTTCAGTGCGCAGAAATAATTTTAGATTACAGATGCTAAAGCAAAAATAATGTACACAAAATAGAATATGCACTTGCTTTGACATAGAATAACATGGATATTTCAGCAGGCTGGAAATGGTGGCTTGGCTCAGTTTGGAGCAGATTCCCAAACTCCTCTTATCCTGTCTGAGTTTTTGTGCGACATGTGCATACCATCTGTAGCCCACAGTCAAGCCATTGGCAACGCACCAGCAAATGCAAAACAGTAGCCTCTTTCGCCCTGACACTAGGGGGAGCTCTCTGCCTGTGTAAAGGGCATTCCCCCCCCCCCTTCCCGGTTTCCACTTACCCAGAAACTTGGCCTTTTCTTCTCTCCGCTCCTTGGCAAGCTTCTGCCTCTCCTCTGACTTCATGATGTCTGAGATGAGAATGGAGGAAGGAGAAAAATTGGAAGAGAGAGCCAATTTACAAATTTAAGTACAGTCCTTTTGTCCTTTAGACACACACCACCACTCAACATTATTTCATCAGCAACATGAAAGCTGAATGTAAATTAATCTGAGAATTTTTGGCTTTGTATCTTACAGATCATTCTGTCAACATAACTTGTGTTATGAAGAGATTATCTGACATATTAAATCAGTTCCCACAACACCACATCATCCAATATGGAGTGAAAAGAGCATAGTGAATGTTTCATTTTCTTTCAGAAATAATATTCTGTCAATAAAAATATAAAGTTAGCCTTAATACTTTTAGTTCTGAATCTTGTAAATGTGTTGTCATTTGTACAACAGCATGTTTTGACAAGTTAACTGCATTTTGTCTGAGGAGTACCTGCACCTGCCCTCTGATAAACATAAATATGCAGCTCTTTTTGCTCACTGCTGCTAAATCAGCACAGCAAAGGCCTTTAACCTTTAAATGTCACCACAGGGACATGCATGCCACAAGACAATGACATTTCTACACCGATGCTCAACACAGGGCTGAAACTGACATTTACTGTGTTTTCTACATTATGAACAAATGTTTGAATAAAATTCTGCAGGCAAGTCAATCTGCTCCAAACGAAAGCTGCAGCGCGTGGCAGACTCGCCGAATCTCCTGTGGCATCTGGATGTGATACGTTATGACTACAGGGGAGCACTTACATACAGTGGTGTGAAAAAGTGTTTGCCCCCTTACTGATTTCTTATCTTTTTGCATGTTTGTCACACTGTAATGTTTCAGATCGTCAAACAAATTTATATATTAGTCAAAGATAACACAAGTAAACACATCATGCAGTTTTTAAATGAAGGTTTTTATTATTAAGGGAAAACAAAATCCAAAACTATAGAGCCCTGTGTGAACAAGTGTTTGCCCCCCTGTCAAAACACTGTTTTATCGCACCCGACCACCAGGCATTGAACTATCTTTTAAACGTCCATACCCGTAATTTGACAATACTTAACCCAGAAAGGTCCATAGACCTGATTTGTTTCAGTTCAGAGGCTGAGACAAGACTTTAGGCATGGTTCTTTCTTTGTGTTACTGGTGGATGGCTGTGAATGCCTAGTGGGACCTGATCCGGCTGGTTGGTCCCCGGCCGTGTAGCGGCTGAGAGGCAGCGATCGGCATGATGCTGAGCAGTGATCCAGGCAGTTTTTTGTCCAGCCTGACAGTTCACTGCACTTGTCATCCAAAGTGTAGAGTGGTCTGCTGCTCGAATATAAGTGACAAGACAGAAAACAGGCGCCGAGTACTACAGCCTCTGTGTACAGCACTCAGATGTTATTGTATCGTTCAATGACTCTGTCAGCAGTTGGTGGGCTCCAGGGATGCTGAGAGTCAGTGTACATTCCAGTTTCATAGGATCTGCTGGTCATCGACGTGCATGTTTGGTGATGTATAATTGTAGTGATCTGCAACATTTTGTTCTAGTTCTACAATTCCAGTCATAATAAATCAAAGCCATCTATCAAAAATATAGATAAACATATCTTTAATATATGGCTTTGACTCATTTTATTGTCACAAAGTAGGAGCCACAGTGCACAGAGGTGCCTCAACACACACCTGAAAGGATATTTTTCATGTGGGACAGCTTCACAGCTGGTTCACAGACTTCTCCACCCAAAACAGTTCATTGAAGAAGACTGTCCAATGC